TGTCGGCATTGGTGGGTGGGGCCGGCAATGAAGTGTGGTGGCGCTGGTGGAGGGGAGGGAGCTGGGGTTGGCTGGGGAACAGGTAGGTGGGGTAAGTTTTTTTTTTAAAAATAAAAATTATTTAATTATTTAAAAAAATATAAAAACTAACTATGGTTAATGAGTTTAAATTAAAATAAGTATTATCTTTGATAATCAAAACTTAGGTTTACCAAAGATAATAAAGTTTTTTTGTAATTCACCACTGAGAAAAGTAAAAAGTATGGTGTTACCAAAGAGAATTTTCCAAGATATTTCTCAAATTTCCTACGTGTAAAATCCTATGTTTTAACTCATTACAGATGGTCTTTCCAATGAGATCTTTTTTATACATATGACAATAATGTTAATCAAAATTACGCACATGAAATACTTAGAACATTTCGAGTCTCATCCACTCATTCTAAATCATTGCCAAAATAAATTTTAGGAATTAAAATAGAAATCCTCCCTAGCGGAGTCGCCAAAAACTGTAAGGAATATTTCAAGCATTAACCCCTAGCTTGAACCCCACTGTGATCATACACTAAAGCATGGTGGCGTCCAAAGGGAAAGAAGATAGAGAAAAAGAGTCGCCAACAAGTATTTTAGGAACTTGTAAACCGTTCACGAGGTGAAGGTTACACCCCTTAACGATCCAAGAGATCGTCAAATCCATAAGGTCTTGAACCAAATAGGGTTCGGGGATGAAGGTACAAATCCAACCTAAAAAAGATTGAACCTGCCCTAATAATAGGCCTCTACTTTATTCTGATCGTATTCATGTGCGCTTTCTGGCTAACATACAATCGATAGGTTTAACCCTAAACCTGTTTATCTATGATGGTTGAATTTAATGCACAAATAAAACTATTATTGGCGATCACTTGAATTATAATCATAATTAACCCTAAATAAGATTATTAATTATCTTATTAAGCGTGATTACAAGTACAAATTCCCTTTAAACATGCATAAAAGGTGTGATCAAGCAATAACAATAAATATATATCAAGCAACATAATAATAATCATAAATCATAACAATAATAATAATTATAATCATAATAAATCATGTTCATGTTAAAGCATAATAATAATAGCAAGATTCCTATGCATGATACTAATAAGATTAATAACAAACCCTAGCATGTAACTAAACATTAAAAATCATAGCTTTAGCCCTAACATGATACTAACATCATAAATATTAGGAAGAACATAAAAGGCATCATAACAATCATACTTAGTATTAAATTTACCCTCGACATGATACTAGGAATATCATAATAACAACCTAAGCATGAACTCTATATCATAACATCAATAAAAACCATTTAAATACTTACTTTGATGCCTCGTACCTCTTTATAATCACAAAATACACATGTTAGTAACTTCAAGGAAAATAATAAAACAACAATTAAATTAAATAATTGAAAGAGAGATTTGGGACCAAACCCTCAGAATTAAACCTTTCACGTCTAGGGCGAAGGCAACTTCGAATATGGCTAGGTATATCTAGATCTTGCGAATGCGGAATTTTTATATTTGAGAGAAGGCTAGTTTAGAAAAGAGAGAGAAAGAGTAATCAAGAAAATCTTGATGAGAGTTGGTGAATGAAAACGGAGTTTTTAACACGTTATTTATAGAGAAAATCAACCAAAAAGATAAAACATCAAAAACAGAATTCTGACAGAAAAAGCCAAGTTAGCGCCAAACGCTGACCATAGCGCCAGACGCTAAGGCTAGCGCCAGGCGCCAAGCGTAGCGTCAGGCGCTACAGCTGGCGTTTGGCGCTTACTCAGAAATTCACGCGTTTTCTTAAAATCAGATAGAAATTGCCGTACAGGAGAATAAAATCGTATTTTCCTCAAAAAGTTCTTTTATTCTGATTAAAACTCTAAAAAGTCAAGAAAAGTCAATTTATCAATGTTAATTGAATTAGGAATGAAAAGAACCTTCTAGAAGAATCTAGAAGACTAAAACCATTCCTAATTGCATTAGGATTGATAAATCTATATTAGGCCCTCCTCTAGTTCATTGGGCCGCATATAAGGCTCAAACCGGGCCCAGTTCAGTAAATTGGCTATAACTTCCTCAATATTCATCAGAATTGGGCTTATAATATATTGTTGGAAAGCTCTTTTCAAGCCCAATCCAACTACAATACTATTGGAACGATATCATGGACCAACCAAACTGGATTGGCTATTTTCTTAAAATAAGTTTTCAAAAACAGAGAGAAGAGAAAAGAAATTAAAACTATCCGCAACACTAGACATAATCTTAGAAAACTAAAGAACATTCATGCCTTCACTTCCATGGGTGTTCACATAGATGAGAGTTTAGAAAATGCCCAACAAGGAGTATATACCTTTCGAGCTCAAGGTTCCATATATAATAAGATAGGTGGTTTACTCCCTAATGGGTCAGATTGTCGGCCACGATTCCTTCGGTTGTACATATATGACATTGAACATGATATTGAGAATCGATTAGCAGAGAATAGCACGTTGCGACGAGACATTTTACAAAGAATCAAGGCTATTTTTGGATCAACGCAATCCATTTGCACATACTCTTTGATCTCTTGCACAGCGCGAAGACATACAACAATGTGCACTTCACATTTGCGAACCACCTTCAAATCGGCCACAATATTGTTTACCATCTGCTTCTCAAGTTGCTGTAGTGATTGTCGGTGGAGAAGAAGTTGCAAACTAGAATCCGAGAGATGTTTTAGTCCAGTCAAATTCTGGTGAATTAATGACTATCATGGACACGACAGGATATTATGATCTTCTACAATATCCATTACTTTTTCCGTATGGTTCTTTTGGATGGTCGATTAATAGTGTTGACAGTGATGGAAGAACAATTCTATGCCGAGGTTTTTACGCCTATTACTTCCAAGTAATGTTACTACACTCACTTATATGTGTTAATAAATTGATTTTCGTAATAATTTCTAATCCATGTAGATGATTTTTATTACAGATACGTCCACATTCTATTTCAATCATCTTGCTTGCACATCGACTGTTCCAACAATTTGTTGTTGACAATTTGTCAAAATTGAGGCTAATAAGCTAAGATAGATCCGAGACCATCAACATACCATAAGAGCTGAACTATACCAAGGCTTATAAGATTGTTTGGCTGTTGGAGAACTAAATCTAGATATTTTTTTTAAGTTACATATATAATTTAAAACATTATGGTTACTACAAATTTCTTTATTAGTTTGCTAAAATATACTTACCCTAAATCATTTACAGTAAATGTTGGGAAACAACCATCTAACCTTCTTCATTTGTTGGAAGTCCAAGAGACTTGAATGAAAGATATCAAGATGCAATGGCATTAGTTCTAAATTATGGAAAGTCGGACCTTTTCATCACTATGACATGCAACCCATCATGGAAAGAAACTGTGTAAGAGTTATTACCCGGTCAAACTGCACAAGACCAACCTGATTTAATCACTAGGATATATCATGCAAAATTTAAAGAGTTCAAGAGTGATGTTGTTGATAAAGGCGTCCTTGGGAATGTTGTGGCGTATGTCTATGTCGTTGAGTTTCAAAAAAGAGGACAGTACATATTCACATGTTACTCATTTTGGATGAAAATGACAAACCAAGATCACCCGAAGAATATCACAAAAGCGTGAAAGCTGAAATACCAGATAGAGATGAGTAGCCACGATTGTATAGTGCTATTCTCAAACACATGATCCATAATCCATGCGGTGTTGGACACCAAAATTCATCTTGAATGGAAAATGAAGTTTGTAAGCAAAAATTCCCAAAACCATTTTATGCAAGCACTATTTAAGGTGACAACTCTTACCCTGTTTACCGTCGTCGCGGTGATCGTGATGTTGTGCCTTTGCATGAGAATAGCTCAACCTATGTTGATAACAGTTGGGTTGTTCCCTACAATCAATGGTTACTACTAAAGTATGATTGTCATATAAATGTTAAGATTTTGAACAGCATCAAGAGTGTTAAATATCTATACAAATATGTGCACAAGGGTGTTGATTGTGTTTCCATGGAAGTACGAGCAAGAGCAGATAACAATGAGATTCAACAATTTGTGGATGCTAAGTGGGTTTGTGCACCCGAGGCCTTATGGAGAATTTATTAGTTTCCAATCACTCGAATGTCCTTCTGTGGAACGATTACAACTCCATCTTCCATATTGACACCAGCTATGATTTAATACAAATCAATTTATCGAAGATATCCTTCAAATGCCAGAAAACTCCCAAACCATGCTCATAGAATTCTTTAAGATGAATGCCATTGATCCTGAGGCAAGATCTTATCTCTATAAAGACTTTCATCGGCATTACCGATGGATGACATTAACAAAAACATGGAGGAAGAGGAGGAATAACCTGAAAGTGATTGGAAGAATATACACATCATCACCAATAGAAGGAGAGAGATTTTTCTTGCGACATGTACTTAATCATATCAAAGGTCCTGAATCATTCTAGGATCTACAAACCGTCAATGGAATTACCTATCAAACTTTTAGAGAAGCAGTTGAAAAATTAGGTCTGATAAAGAATGATGCGAGCATTCATGATTGTTTACAAGAAGCATCGAACTCTAAAATGTCATCTTCCTTGAGAAGATTATTTGCCACGATATTGGTTTATTGCCAACCAAGTGGTGTTTGTGCTTTATAGGATGAATTCTTCCATTTTATGGCTGAAGATCATAATTTTTCCAATCCTCCAAGCACATCATTTGTTTGTGACTCCGTTCTTTACGACATAGATCGCATGTTGAAGTAGTTGGGTAGCACTATTAGTGACTTCAACCTCCCTGTCATAAGCATGCAATTAGATGGCAACATATAATTAGCCAGGGCTATACATGAAAAAATCTCTACTCCAATTCCACTAGAAGATGTGTATTGTGCTGAGCATCTTAATGATGACCAACGCCATTCATTTAACGTCATAATGGAAGCTATAGATGGAGATAAAAATCAGATTTTCTTCGTAGATGGTCTAGGTGGTACAGGTAAGACCTTATATCGTGCCATTCTTGCAACTGTTAAGCTTAGAGTGAAATTTGGTCTTGCTGTAGCTAGCTCAATTATTGCTTCCACGTTATTACATCGAGGTAAAACAACTCATAAAACTTTGTGGATTCCAGTAACATTGCATGCTTCATTAATGTGGAAGTTTAGCAAACAAGATGTTGAAGCACAATTGGTAAAGCATGCAGCTGTTATTATATGGGATGAAGCTACTATGACTCACCGACATGCATATGAGGCTATAGATCGCAGCTTGAGAGATCTAATGGAGGTTGACTTTCCTTTTGGTGGCAAGGTTTTAGTATTTGGTGGAGATTTTAGGCAAATTCTTCCAGTTGTAACTAAAGGAACAAAAGCTCAAACCATTGATGCATGTTTAGTTAAATCAACACTTTGGAGGCATGTTCAGCAACTTCACCTCACTCAAAATATGAGATCCAGACATGATGAAGAATTTGCAGCATTTCTTTTAAGAGTTGGTGATGGAAGGGAAACTGTAGTTAATGAAGACATGATTAAATTACCATCTTCATTATGCATCCCAAATGGCAACCAGAACTCGATTATAACTTAATCCATCAGGTATTCCCAAACTTACTTAAACGTGAAGGGGATGTGACATATATGGTAGAGAGGGGTATAATAACTCCAACAAATGATGAGGTTAATATTCTAAATGAGAAGATACTAAATGATTTTGCTAGAGATAAAAAAATATATTATTCCTTTGACTTTGTGCCAGAAGACCGTCAAAATCTTTACCAACAAGAGTTCTTAAATTCATTGTCATTTGGTGGTTTGCCACCACATCTTTTGAGGTTGAAAGTTGGATCACCCATAATGCTTTTGCTAAATATTGATACAAGTAGCAGCCTATGCAACGGGACAAGGTTAATATGTTGTCAATTAATGAATCATGTGATAGAGGCTGAAATCATGACTGGACATTGCAGAGCGAGGTACACAGGTATTCATTCCACACATTCCTTTAAAAACATTTGAAGATGCGAAGTTACCATTTGAAATGATTCGAAAACAATTTCTAGTGAAATTGTGTTTTGCCTTGACCATTAACAAATCTCAAGGTCAAACCATTTCGCATGTTGGTATTTATCTTCCCAAACATGTTTTTAGTCATGGCCAATTGTATGTTGCACTATCAAGAGGGACTTCCCAACAAACGACCAAGATCTTGGTTACCAATGGCAACATTTAAGGAAAAGATGGTGTGTTCACTAAAAACGTTGTTTATAAAGAAGTTCTTCTGCCTCATTTTACATAGCAGTTTAGAAACACGACAATTAATATTATGCTTCACACTATCTTTTTTCCAAGTATTATCTTTTACAATTGTTTTATACATCTTATAACTAGATTCTAATATATATCTTTTTAAAACATGGTGCAGGATAGACAAATTGTGACAAGCATATTGTATGTACAAAATTATTGCGCCTAGTGTTTCTAATGACTAATGTTTGTAAAGATAATTTCATGTAGTAATTTCTGTTTTTCCAATCATGCATGTATTGCTACTACTAATTGTAATAATTTCAACCTTTTATTTTATAACTTTTACTACTATGATATTACATACATATTTCTTATATTATGCACGCATGACGTGCACTATCTTAGCTTGTAGAGCTTAAACTCTCATCTAAGCCCAATCTACAAATTTTATTCCTACTTGACTTTGGAGACCAAGCCCACAAAGTATATAAATCCTAAAACCCTTATTTTTTCCCCCTCACTTCTACTACTCCTATTTCACATAAAACTCAAACCAAAAAAAATAAAAAAAATAATAAATAAATTTGAAGCTTGAAGCTGCTGCCAGCCGAAACGCCCAGTCACCTACGCCGCCCATCACCAGCCACCGCAACACCGCCGTCCAGCCGCCCTACTGCTGCTGCCGTTCGCCCCTCTCTTCCTTTATTTTTTTATTGCTTTATTATCCTATTAAATTGTTTAAAGTTTCAATCTTTAATTAAAATTTTGTTCTACATTATTATTATTATGGTTTGATAATATATGTAGATTATAAAAATTTATAAATTTATGAGTTTTGACAGGTTTAATTTATTATATAAATTTGTAGATTTGTGTATGTATAAAATTTAGGGTTTAAACATTGAATTTTTATGTTTTAGGGCTTGAAAACATACTAATTAAGTTGTCTAATTATACTATGTTTAAATTACATCAAAGTGTAATTATTTTGACTATGTATTAATTTTCAGATTATTAAAGTTTTGATTTTTATGAGCAAGTTATGTTAATTTCATGTTTTTATGCTTATAAGCCTATAAAATAATTATTGTGGGCATTTTATGATTAAAAAGCTTTAAACTTTAAATTATAACCTCAAGTATAAATTTTCAGATTTGTATACTTTTAATTTGAAGCTTCTAATTGCATTGAATTGGTATATTTTTGGGTTTTTAACACACTAACTTGCTATATAATGATAATTTCAAGTAAGTATGCGTATGGTGTTATTTTATATACTCAAACTAAAATTTCAGATTTATTTACTTACTTTAAAGCTGCTGGAATTTCATGTTATTATACACTATATTTTTATAATTTTAACATATAAACTTATAGTTGGGATGTTATATTATTATTATTGACTAGTAGCAGTGGCGGATCCATGATTTTCGTACATGTGAGTCACCATTTGAAACCACCTTTACCTACCACCACTGTCCACCCTAGAATCTCACCCATTTACCGCAAAAACCACATTAAGACACCACAAAAGCCACCCCTTTAACAAAATTCACAAGAATACAAACATGAAATTCCAACAAAATTAAACCCAAAAAATCAACAAATCATATCCAAAAATAACAAAAATCAAAAAATTTACCTAGAAAATCAAACCTAAAAATTAATGAAAATCAAACCAGAAATTTACCCGAATATAACACGAAAATCAATTAATCAAACCCAAAATTTGCCATAAAATCAAACCCAAAACTCAAAGAAAAACAAATAAAACCCAAAAATTAAAGAAAATAAAACCCACTAAAACAAACAACAAAAATCAACAAAAAAACCGAAAGGAAATCAACTTAAAAATTAAAAAAACGAAACCAAAAATCAAACAAAATACGAAACCATACCTCAAACCTCTAAATACCTCGAATTTGGTTTAATAAGACCGAATTCGACTATAAAAATTCTAGATCTAGATTTTTAATGGTTGAATTCGACCTTAAAAACCATTAAATTTATCAACAGCACCACCTAAACATTCGGACATTTCTGAGACAGATAACTGAATAAGAAGAGGAAAGTGAAGGAGAAGAGAAGGAGAAGCGTGAGGAAAGAGAAATGAAAGAGGAGAGAGAAAGAAAAAAGGAGGAGCGACTTGAATGCAGAGAGGGATTTAGGGTTGTGAGGTTTCCAATAGTTTAGTTTCATGTGTTTTGGGCCTTTTGGCCGTTTTCTCTTGTTTTTCTTTTTTCTTTTTTTTTTAATTTTTTTTTTGGCACTGCTGAGTCACGTGACTCAGTGTGCACACGTGTAGATTCGCCACTGACTAGTAGGAACAATTTAAAAGGTTTATTTTGATGGTTTAAGAGGTTTTAAAGTAGTTTAGTATTGCTGTAAATTTATTTGCTTGGGTATTGATTTATTTCTCGTTGTTTGGTTTAGGAGAGGAATTTGTAGAAGGCGACTTCTAGTTTCTAAAGTGGCCAACTGAGTTGTTTACACAAGGTACGCATGAGTCACGAAACCTTGTTTTTAGGTGCATGTTTAAGGACGGATCGAGAACTTAGTATCATGTCTAGGGATGACTGGGCTAAATTGTTTGGTTATACATTGTGATTTCCGTATGATGTGCACTATTTCATATTGCAAGTATTGTTTATGCTCTAATTATGAAAGGTGCACTTAGAGGCAAAGATATGTGATTGGTGAAATGATTAATTTATTACTCATTTATGATTATGGAAACAGAATGAGTAAAGGAAGAATTTAAGTTTTACATGACGAGGTTAAGTTTGTGGGGTGCCTTATGGACTCAAGGTGTTTATACACCGAGGTAGTTAAAGGATTAAATAATAAATGTTGGTTGTCACTAATAAATCAAGAATTGAAATTTGAAAGTTTGCTTTACTTGATTGAATTGATAATGGATTGATTGTGTTGTTTGCAAATCAGTCATCACCAAGTCTAAACTTGTAAATCACGTGAAGTGCAAAATGGGTGAGCAATAAAACTCTGGATTTGTGCACATCTGGAGTAATGACAATTAGGGGTTGGGGTACACGGGGTATTAGCTGTGCACCACTGGCGGAGCCACCGTGGGACAAGGGGGGACAGCTGTCCCCCCACTTCCCAAAAAAAAAAAAAATAGTTTAAATACAATATTTTGTGCTAAATATGATGGACCAAAGGAGTTGGTGCAATGGTAAGATGCATGAGCTTAAGAGCTCTAATTTTTAGGGACTAGAGTTCAAATCTTCAGGCATGCATTTTACATTCTTTTTATTTTATTTTATTTTATTTTATTTTTTATTTTTAAAACAGGACATTTTACATTCTTTTTTGGCTTTTAGACCAGATTAATTGATTCTTCTTAATTATTACAATGATTATACGTTTATTATTGCATCAAGTCTTTGTTTTATTAATTAATCACAATAATAACAACGAGAGATATCTTTGAATAATTGTTGAACTACAAATCACGTATTTCTTAACCTGAATACTATACTTCTCGAGTTTGAAATCTATATTATCTTATGAAATTTCATCATCATCCCCCTTATTTAGTCACATTTTTTTAATTACGTCTATGCAAGTCTTAGGTAGCCCATCCTAATTTATCTTGAAACATATATATTTCTCTATAACGAATGTAGTATGATATTGCTTGGGAGTATTCTGAATACATACATAAGCACTTCAATAGAATCAAAGAGTATAGCATTATTTTAATTTATTTTTCAACAATTACTCTATATACATATTTGAATCATTGTAATTGTAGTTTTGCATGAATATTACCCCAATTATGATTCCCCAAATTACGATTGTGCATTAGGATTCCCCTGATGAGGAGGGGTTTCTAATGTTTTCTTTTTTCTTACTCTCTTACCCTTAAAAAAAATTACCCCAAATTACGATTGTTATAGATAATTATGACAAGTACTACATTTAAATAGTTATATTAATCTACGTTTATGGAGGAAAACTTGGTATATGACGTGATTTTTTGCCTAAGTACTCCGTATTTCATATTTTAAAGTTGTAAAATTTAACTATTAAAGTGTTTTTTTTTTTTTTTTTTTTTTTTTTTTTTTTTTTTTTGCTTCAATGTTTTTGTCAAACTAAGAAATGTCCATTTGTCCCCCCGGTTAGAAATTCCTGGCTCCACCACTGCCGTGCACTTTTCTCGAGGCCGTCTGATCTACGAGTCTCTTATTTCAAATAATTTTCAAAACTAGGAGTTAGATGAGATCTCATACTAGCTACGGTCACGGAGATGTGCCCGTGGTCGTTGGATGATTTATTGATGTTTCCGAAAGGAGGCATGGGCTTTTCTTTTATTGATGT